TCCTTGGGTAAGGATTAAAAGATTGCAAAAAAAAAATCCCCCAAACATCGTAGACACAGACAATAGTATGGTGATTATCAGAGGAAATTGGGCTGGGGGGAGGTAGAAGAGGGCAAAAAGAGGATAAATGGTGATGGAAGGAGACTTGACTTGGGGTGGTGAATGCACAATAAAATATACAGATGATGTATTATAGAATTGTACACCTGAAACCTATAATTTTATTAACCAACTAGAGGCCCAGTGCATGAATTCATGCACAGATGGGGTCCCTCAGCCTGGCTGGCGATCTGGGGCTGATCAGGGCTGTCTCACCCAGTCCCGATCGGGGCAATGGGGGCTGGATGGCCAGGGATGGACCGTGGGAGGGCTCCAGGGCATGTCTGGCCCTCTCGCCCAGTTCTGATCACCTGGACCCCAGCAGCAAGCTAACCTACCAGTTGGAGCGTCTGTCCCCTGGTGGTCAGTGTGCATCATAGCGACTGGTTGAGTGGTCAACTGAATAGTTGACTGGTTGGACACTTAGCATACTATGCTTTTATTATATAGGATGTCACCCCAATAAGTTTAATAAAAAATAAACCAGTGAACATATAAAAAATTAAAATGTATTGCTTTTTCTAAAAATACCAAAGTTAATATCACAAAATCTCAAAGCCTATACCAAAGTTATCTGCATCTTCTCTTAAGGGAATGACTTCTCTTATAGGTTCTTTCAATTGTAGACCCATCAGTGTATTCCAGAAGTCATGCTAATAGGTATCAAAGGGGGGTTTACAGGTCCCCAATGATCCTTGAGTTTTATCCAGTACTATTTAAAAGAATACCACCAGTTCAGCATGAAAAAATATTAAATTGTATTTGTTTAATGCATATATGAATTTAAGTGCAAAGTTTTAAGATGAAACAGAAAAAATAAAATTGTTATCTATCTAATCACTGGTATAGAGAGAATGGACTTTGGAGTTAGAAGGACCCAGGTTTGAATCCTGACATTGGCATTTCTTGGATAAGTTAATCAGCCTTTTCTGACTCTCGACTTTTATTGTCTATAAAAAAGGGACTGATGACAGCCATATCATTGGTTTCTTGTGGGAATTAAATAAACTACTGTAAGTAAAGAATTTAACACAGTGTCTGATACACAGTAAACAATAAATGCAAGTTATTCTTAGAAATAAATTCCTCTGGCCTCCTGAACCATGCTACCACATTCTAAATGCTTTCCCACTGCAGGGCTGCTCTTCCTGTAGGCATTTTCTTGCCTTTCAGTTAAATATCTTCCCAAGGAGTTAAGCATTACCATGCCTTTCACTTAAATATCTCTTCCTAGCAGCCTTCTTCTGACAATCCTACCCCAAATAGCTCTTTTTCTTCCAAAACACTAATATTTTCTTTTTAAAAGAGTTTGTGGTTTTTATTCAAATCCTATACATTAATTTTAATTACTTTAAAAATTAAAGCATAATTTATATAAAGTAAAATTATGTTTTTTAAAAACTATTTTAATTTTATATATAGAGAAAGAGAGAAGCACCTCTCGGCTGCCTCCTGCATACCCCCTACCAGCGATCAAGCCTGGAACCTGGTCATGTGACCTGACCTGGGAATGGAACTGGTAATCTTTTGGTGCATGGGACAACGCCCAACCAATCGAGCCAGACTGGCCAGAGCAAAATTATGTTTTTATTGCAAGTTTTGAAAAATGCATACAGTTATACAGCCACCACAGTGACATAGAACACTTTCACCGCTCATCACATGTCATGCCTTTTGGGTTAACCACTCTCCCCTGGCTAAGCTGCTGGTGAACACTGATCTGCTCTCAATCCCTACAGTTTTGCCTTTCCCAGTCTGTCACATAAATGAAATTGTACTGTATGCAACCTTTTGAGTTTATCTTCTTTCACTTAGTGTAATACATTTGAGATTCACCTATTTTGTTGCATGTATCAGCAGTTTGTTTCTTTTTGATGCTGGATAGTATTCCATTATGCAAATATATCACAGTTTATCCATTCACTAATTGAAGCACATTTAGTGTATTTTTTGGCAATAAAGACACAGATATTTTTGGCTATTCAATTTTAAGAATAATATATTTTTGCTTTTCCATGTAGATTTTAGAATCAGCTTGTCAACTCTGTTGTGATTTTTTAAAAAACTGCCATTAATAAATTTTGGAAGAAATAACATTTTATCATATTGACTCCTTCACTTAATGAATAGAGTATATCACTATATTTATTTAGGTCTTTGATTCCTTCTAACAGTGTTGCATAGTGTTCATTGTAGAAATATGAAATATTTTTTATTTCTTTAGGTTTATGCCTATGTATTCATGCTTTTGGTACTACTGTAAATGGTACTTTAAAATTTTCAACTCCTAATAGTTAATTGTTGTTATATAGAGTTGGTTTTTGTGTATTAACCTGTCTTGTGACTTTAATAAACTCATTTATTATCTCCAGTAGTTTTTGTAGGTTATTTGGGATTTTCCACATAGATAACCATATCATGAGTAAATAGAGACAGCTTTATATCTTTCTTTCCAATCTATATGCCTTTTACTTCTTTTTGTTGCCTAGTTGTATTGGCTAGAACCTCTCTAGTACAATGTTGAATAAGTGGAGAGATAGCAGCTAGTGGACATACTTACCTTGTTTTGTTGATGTTAGATGCTTTTTAAAAAATATATTTTATTGATTTTTTACAGAGAGGAAGGGAGAGGGATAGAGAGTTAGAAACATCGATGAGAGAGAAACATCAATCAGCTGCCTCCCACACACTCCCCACTGGGAATGTGCCTGCAACCAAGGTACATGACCTTGACAGGAATTGAACCTGGGACCTTTCAGTCCATAGGCCGACGCTTTATCCACTGAGCCCAAGCAGTCAGGGCTAGATGCTTTTTTAAAGATGCCCTTTCTCAAATTGAGAAAATTTCTTATATTCCTAATTTACTGAGATTTTTTTAACATCAGAATAATCTGATTTTTTTCAATTCTATGAATGATCATTTTGTATTTGTTTATAGTCTCTTGACATGGTGTGTTATAATGACTAATTTTTGAATGCTGAATCAGCCTTGAATTCACAGAATAAAGCTCATTTGGTCATAATATGTTATCCTTTTTATATATTGTTGGATTCACTTCACTAAAGTGAAATTTTTAGAAGTATGTTAATGGGAGATATTAGTCCATGCTTTTATTTTCTTGTAATGTGTAGTGTTAGTAGATGAATACTTGTCTCGTAGGAAAAACTTGGATGTTTTCTTACCTGTTTGTGTGGAACTTGCATTCCTTATATGTTTAGTTGAATTCACCAGGAAGTCATATTTCCTGGATATTTCATTGTGGTAAGATTTTTAACTCCTTTATGCTACCTCTTTATAGCCACAGCCATTCATTCTCCCAATTCCTGGCAAAAACAAATTTGTTTTCTATAATTATATTATTTCATGAACATTACATAAATCAAATCATGCAATATGTATCCCTTTGAGATTAGTTTTTTCACTTGGCACAATTTCTTTGAGGTTCACTCAAATTGTTGCATATATCAACAGTTCCTTCCTTTCCATTACTGAATAGTAGTCTGTGATATATATATATATTAGAGGCCTGGTGCACAAAAATTTGTGCACTTGGCGGGGGGGTCCCTCAGCCTAGCCTGTGCCCTCTCGCAGTCTGGGACCCCTTGGGGGATGACCACTTGCTGGCTTAGGCCTGCTCCCCGGGGGATTGGGC